TGTGTGTGTGTGTGTGTGTGTGTGTGTGTGTGTCAGCCGTTCTTTGAGCGGCTGGTGAAGAGGAAGTGGCTCAGTAACTCGGAGCCGTACGATCAGATCGAGGCGCTCATCAAAGATCACTTTAAGAAATATCACAGGATGGACAGTCCTCCACACCAGGTACGTGTCTCAAAGTGTGGACGGCTCAACGCCAGCTGATCTGAAGACAAAAGGTTTGATCACCTCTCTCTCTCACTGTGTCTCTGTGTCGCTCGCCCTCAGCTGCTGGTGGCCGAAGTCCACCGCCGTGTGGTCATGGAGTACCTTCGGTCGGTCATGCGAGGCAGAATCATCTGCACCTCGATGAAGATGAGGAAGAGGATGGCTGGGCGCCTCAGGGACGAAGGCACACAGATCAAAGTCCTCTTCAAAGACCTGGTCAGTGTTCACGGTCAAAGGTCAGACGCTGCTCGTCGGGATGTCAACACGTGGTAAATGTTGTGTATGTCCGACAGGAGTCTCCGTCCAGCTGGTTGGACAGCGCACTGTCTCACATCTCAGAGATCATCCAGCTGGAGGACGTCCCGTCTGTCCAGATGGAGGTGGGCGTTCTGGTCAGAGAGTTTCCGGACGTCAGGTAAAGAATCCTGACAAAAGAGTCAGACATGACAGCTCCATAAAGTGAAGTGGATTCATATGGATCTCCCCCTGGTGGCTGGCTGCAGTATAGGTCATAAACCCATCCTCCTCCATGTTAGCAGATGGGACATGGACCAAAGTAAAAAGTGTCAAAGTGGAGATCAAACAACTCTCCAGCGGCGGAAGCCAGTGACACAATGTCTTGCGTTGTGATAAATCACTCGACAAATGTGAATTTACATCCAGATAGCTAAGAATCTGAGCTTTAACATTAGCTTGAGCTTTGCTAACAAACCTGCCTCATGTGGCATCATTACTTCCTGTTGTCACGTTTCACTTGGAAAATCTGTTTCAGAGCTCAGAATCTGAACATGAAATCAATTAGTCCTGATCTCAGACTGAAACTGAAACTCTGTAATAAAGAGGGAAGAAGAACTTCCTGTTCATTCTTCTTCTCTCTCTCTGTTCAGGAAGAAACACGTGTCGGCCATTTTGAACATACGGGGGATGACTCGGCAGTCAGAGCGTCAGGAAATCCTCAACATCGTCAAGGACATCGAGAGCAGTGACGGCGGCAGCAGCTCGGCTCGGCTTTCCCGTGACCGCGGCCTCTTCTCTGAGGTGCCCGTCACCTCAGAGGTTCACTGCCTGAACATGGGCCTGAGCCGCATCGCCCTCACCGCCTCCTCCTGCTTCACCGCACTGAGACCACGGCGACGCAAAACCCGCACGCCCGTCCAAGAGAACCCCGACGATGTTCTCTGAGAGGAGTCAGCTAGTTTCAGTTCTTCCTTCTCACAGGAAGTGAAACTGAGGCTGTTGGTTTATTTCTAATAAAACTCCATAAAGAGGATTATTGTCCATGAAACCATCGGTGACTGGACGTGTCCCTCAAGCTTCAAAACAATCAACAGAAACACGTTTGATCACAAACATGACGCCATCGTAATGAAACCTGATCATTGTCAGATCCGACATTCATCAATCGTGTGAACGTCGGAGACATTCAATTCAACTGAATCAGTCGAGTCCAGCAGGTAAACCTCAGTGTGACCTGAGCTGATCGGAAATAATAATATACAGAAAACCTTATTTTAAATCCTTCATCTAAATATTTCCAATCGTCACACAGAATCATATGAGAACAACATGTGACCAGGCCTCCGTCATTGAGACACATGATCTTCACATGATCTTCACATGTTTAACAGGAGTACACTTCCTGTTTGTCCTGAATCACATGATTTTAGATTTGATTAGATTTGATTTGTATTTTTTTATATGAGACGTGTTCAGCTTCATCGCTGTTTGATTTCTGGACTTTGAGCTGAAAGGCACTTTATTCAAGGGTGGACGAGAGGAGAGCAGTTCTCTGGACTGAGGTGGACTCTGGACTGAGGTGGACTCTGGACTGAGGTGGACTCTGGCACGAGGACCAGAACTGGAGAAGTGGATTAACCACAGTTCAGTTCATCAGAGCGGCTCGGGTTCCTCTTCTGCTTCCTGTTTCACCAGGATCTAGACTGAGAGAGAACTGCTCACTGGTTTTTATCCTTCAGGGTTTCACAGGAGTTTGTTTTGGGGTTTTGGGGTTTTTGACATGAAGATGCTTCATGACAATAACTGCACAGTAGTTTTATTGTTGCACATGATATAAGAGACGTTTTAATCAAAGGTACTAGACAGAGTTGTGAGTCTCTTCAGCTGATTGTGCATTTGAAGCATCAATCATATTCCAGCTCGTGGGTGTGATGAGGTTTCTGGTAAATTCTTCAGAGATAAACACAGAATATCTGAAACCAGAGGGAGGGCTCCCTCTGCTGGTGTTTGACGGACATCACCGCAGAATCTTCTGATTTCCTCACATCAGTGGTTTTTGAATTTGAATTTGAATTTGAATTTGGTTTTCAGTATTTCCAGGAAAACTCTCCGTCATCACAAATCTCTTCGATACTCAGACACACACTTCACACTGTGTGAGGTTCATGTCTTTGTCTCCTGTCGATGTGGATGATGCATGAAATGAATCTTTGTATACAGACAATAAAACACATCAGATCACTGACGGCTTCGCTTTAATTTTTTCCATAAATCTCTTTTAGAATTAACATTTTTCAAGTTTAATTCAATGACACTATTTTAAAATGTTGTGTTTTCACATATGACTTGATTTACTCTGCATTAAGCACAGTCAGCTTTTATTGTGAAGGTAACACAGCTGTTACATCTTGAGCTGAATTCACTCTTCAATTGTAGTTCATGTTACATTGGGACAGTGACCTCTGCTGGACAGGTGTAGTGTTGCATAAAGTAATGTTGGTAAAAACAAACGGCACCGATCCTATTTCAAAGTTCTCTGGTCTGACGCAGCGTCACTATTTAAGATTTGTTCAGGGTTGTTTTTGTCGTTAGCTGAGTTTTATCTTGAAACTCAACTCTCATTATCTATTCTAGATTTTCTATGCACTGCATTGTTTGAATGTAGTTTATTATTTTATTTGTATTAATGTATAATCATGAGTGATGAGTCTAACTGCGTTTTACTTATTCACACAAGATTATATGATTTATTTGGCTGTTTTACTAATATCATCGATTATCTCTCAACTATTCCCTGATATTTGACAAATATTTTCCCATTATTGTAATACGTCTTTATTTATTTACAATAATGAGTGTATGATTTTTTTATGATCACAGTGGTGTTTGTTGAGTTTAAATGGTTTAAATCCAACACACATCTTCTTTTCTCAGCTAATTTAACAATTCTTCATGTTTTTTCCAGATGGTTTATTTTTTTGTGGATACTTTAATAGTTTTTACTGATTGACGACAGTGATGTTAACCATTAAAGAGTCTGAGTGAAAGTTTGATGCAATTTATTGAAGTCGTCCGCTCACAGAGTAAAATGTTTCACAAGTGTTAGTGAGAAGTTTCCTCCTACAGATTAAAAATATCACAGATTTAAAAACAATAGAAACAGACACAGTGACCCCGCCCCCTCAGCCCCACCCCTTCCAGATCTTACTCAAGTTATAAACAAGCCCCGCCCATTTCAGATTAACGAGGATTTATGGCTGAACTGAACTCAACATTTTAACAAAACTAAAAAACACAGGCCTCCTGCCAAAGCATCGCGGGAACTGTCGTTTATTAAAAACTTTTTTTCTAAATGTTGCAGTGCTCGTTTCGAACACGATCTAAAACACTAAAAAAATATAAAACCCTCTTTTAATAAAGTTCGACGGCGGAAACCAGCTGTTTCCGACGTCACAGTTTTCACTGTTACAATAAACAAACAACAGTCAAACAAACATGAAATAAAATTCTAACTTTAGTTGGAGGGATATGTGTTGAATTTTCTTTTTACGTTTTATTTTGTTGGAGGATGGAGAGGGGTGGGGCCTCACTGTGCTGTTGTTTTTCAAAATAAAATAAAATAAAAACAAATAAAACATCAAATAGCACCAACATTAATCTCAGGCTAAATAAATAACTCTGATGACATTTACAGTAAAAATATAAAACGGCTGAGTTCAAACATATTTACAAATCACAGAGAGATATTACAGGTCTCAGACCAGGACCAGGACCTGGAGCAGGACCAAGACGAGAACCAGGTCTGCCACCAGGAACAGAGGCTGAACTGAAACCAGAGAAAAACCACGAAAGATTTCAAAAAAAAAAATTTCACCTAAATGACAGAAACAGGAAGTTGTTTTTAAAAAACATTTTCATGAGTTTTTTTTGTTGTAACTTAAAAATATTCAAACAAATATTTTTCATTATATGAAACAGACAAATATTCAAGTGAACTTTATTTAAAACACAAATAAAAACTAAAGAGTGAAGATCCATACAGATGAACACGGAGGATAGAAATTCATATTTTCAGCTCTTAGTTCTGGTTCTAGTCTGAATCCTGATCCTGGTTCTGGTTCTGTGCTGCGACGTCAGCGCTGCTCATTGTTTCAAGGTTTAATGTCGATTATTTTCACATCTTCTCACACGATTCTCTCTCTAAATATTAACACAACACTGACTGACCAATGACACGCAGTCACTGCCTCTCACCTGACCATCAGAATACATATTCAGGGGCCGGTTCTGGTTGGCCAGCAGGTGGGGCTAGAGGCGAGGCCTAAACTTCACTGGTTCGTTATTGGATGACAAGAGAACTGTCAACCAATCAGCTGTTACAGGATGTGATCACCTGTAATGAAGCCTGACATCAAACATCTGATCGTTAGTGAAGACGAGTCCCTCCTGAAGATCTGAACAGGGTGGATTGATAGATGAGTTGATTGGCAGCATTGTCATTAACACGACCGTCTCTCCTCATAGACACAAATAAACAAGTCTCATTTTGTGCGTCCGCTCGGTGGAGGAGTTCCTTGCTGCCTCCTGCAGGGGGGAGTTGACTGGATGCGACACTTCCTGCTCCTCAGTGAACCGACAGCGTCCCCTCACTCCCTCATGCAGGAGGAGGTGGCGTTCCTCCTTCTCAATCCCTCATGCAGACGTTGCACTTCCCGATGTTGCTCCTCTGCTGCCAGCCGTCGGTCAGCGTGGTGGAGGAGCTGTTGGAGGCGACGGTGCTCGTGTCCACTATGGTCAGCCAGAAACTGTAGATGTTGGCAAAGTAGTGGCAGGTTCCTCGGGGTCCCTGACACTCCACAAAGGGCTGGGCCCTGAAGTCCGACAGACAGCTCCCTGATGACGTCAGAGACTGACCGCCACCCTCATCACCTGCACCTGTATGCTGCGACAATCACAGGAAATGACATCATTGTCAGGTGAGAGATCGACAGAGGAAGTATTAGTTTAGCACTGTTAGCCATTGTAGCAGTTGCATCACTTCTAATAGTAACAGTGTGAGCTGGAGTATTATTAATATTAGCAGTATGGCAGTAGCAGTAGTATTATAGTATTCATGTGATATTAATATTTTTAGCACAAGACTTACTGTTTTTTCTGTAGTATTATTATGAGCAGAAGCAGTAGTACTGTAGTAGTTGTACTTTCAGTACTGCAGTACCCACCATGAGAAACGAGTATCCTGTCCACAGGCTCGTCCACTGGGGGGGGCAGTCTGGCTTGTCGGAAGTCTGGCTGTGGAGTGCAACAGGTGAGGAGGGGGCTTCACACACCACACAGCGGCTGATGTGCTCTTCGATGGAGGGCCCGCTCACAGGTATGCTGGGGAGGGCCGCCGTCGTGGACAGCCAATAGGATTTGTCGTTACGACTGGCGTAAGAGCAGGCTCCCATGTTACAGGTGGAGAACGGCATAGTGGAAAAGACTTGCATACACGACCCCGCCTGACCTGGAAATATCGTTAGTACAAGTATTAAAGGAGGATAAATCTTATTGAAATAATATTATTTACAGGTAACTTCAGGTAACGTGTTGTGTGGATGTTTGCGAGTTCACTGAACGAACAGCAGGTGAGAACAGGAACAGACACAGTCGTTGAGCATTCGAAGTTCTGCGTCGAGGGAACCCGTTGCTCTGCAATTCACCGCCATGCCGCTAGGGGGGTGTAGCTGTGTGTTTGTGTGGTTATAGCCGAATCCTCGCTTTTTCTTCCGTAAAGTAAACAACAGTAAACAATGGCGACCGAGGTGGAGCAGCTGTATTTGTTGTTGGAGCTCATCAATATTGAAGAACAAATGCTTATATTGCAAATGTTGAAGTGCAAGCTACAAAGAAAATGTTTGCGGAGTTGGTTTTTACGACGAGGAAGAAAGACCGGAAAAGCAACTGCCGGAACTTACGTTCTGAGCGGACCAATCACAGCGCTTACGGTCCCCGATGACGCGACGCATAGTTAGGATTTTTGGGAGGTGCACGTCAGGCTACGGCGTAGGGGTCTGCGTCTACAGCGTAGCTACAGCGTCTACGTGACGCAGAAGCATAAACTAGGCTTTAGAATGTGTATGTTGATGTGTATATATATACACAGTATATACCCAGGTCCTGAGTGTGAGCCTTCTCCTGACCCTCCAGGTACAGCAGACTGTATCCGTTCCATAGGACCCTCATGTTAAATGGACAGGTGGGAATTTGATTTGATTGGCTGTGCCTCACCAACAGGAAACCTGAGTTCAAGTTTTTGGATTGTCCAGGAGGACCGAGGTCACCGACTGGACCAGAATCACCTGAGACGCAAAAACCACAACAGGAAGTTATATTGACAAAAAAAACAACATGACTTCATCTGCAGGCCATGTTGATCCAAATTAAACTGACCTGAGTAAATACATAATTTATACGTAATATATACGTAAAATATAAATGAAGCAGAAATGGGCAGGTGAACATAGATAGGCAGAGGTCTCACCTTTGGCTCCAACATCTCCGTTCTCCCCCTGCAGGCCGGCCTCTCCTTGGTTTCCATCTGGACCTGGGGGGCCCACAAAACCAATTGGTCCTTCAGACCCGGGATCCCCCGTTATACCTGGAACAAACCAACCATCCTAATAATCAGCAGCTCAAACACTAAAACCAATGTTAGTAGTTTCCATTAGATGTTTTGTATTTCACTTTTCCTTCGATCCATCAAATTTTATTTATATAGCCAATATTCACAAATCACCGTTGATCTCAACAAGGAGCAACATCCTCTGTTCTTAAGCCTCAACAAGACATTTCATTGGCTGTCCCTCAAGGGGCTTTTTTCAAGTTTCCTCTGCCATTGAATAAGATGGACCTGCAGGGCGGGGCTGGATAGCTAGCTAGTTAGCATGATAACTGCAGTTAATGTTGGCGTTGTTTTCTAATATACGATAATATAAGATCAAATATTTGATCTTATAACGTTACAGCAGCAAAAAATGAAAGATGTAAAAATGTTTTTAAAAAACATATACATACAGTTTAAACAGTATTTACAGAGTGAAAAATAAATACAGTGAAACAGTTGCACACAGAATGAATAGTGCACAGTAAATAGAGTTTAACCTGGAGACAGCTGTTGGTGAGTAAAGTAAAAAAGTCTGATGCTTAACTCTCAGTGAAAACATCAAAATACTGTCTGACAACACAAAAGAGTTTGCATGGGACCTGGTCCTGCTTCTCACCTTTAAAACCCCTCGGGCCAGTTTCTCCCATGAAGCCAATCTCTCCAGGTTTACCAGGGGGGCCAGGGGGACCTGGGGGGCCCGGTTGGGCAGGAGGGTAGATGGGGCAGGGGGAGACTCCTCCCTTTTCTCCTTTTGGACCTGCCAATCCATCATCACCTTTAGGTCCACGAGGCCCTCCAGGACCAGGACAACCTCTTTGTCCCTGATTACCAGGTAGTCCCATCAGACCTTGTGACCCCTTCATACCTGATCACACCAACACACAGATGTGCTTAATGACAGTCCATGTTTAGGTGATTAGTGGATTCCCAATCCTCACTCGGGGTTCATTCTGAAAATGTTTTCAGTTATACCACAGATTTGAGCTTTCAACTGAGCTGAGCTTGGAACAGCCAAGCCCAGCCAGGTAATGACAGCTAACTACCATTAGCAGTTAGCTCTCTGAATGAGGCTCTGTCAGCAGTAGAATGTTCATGCATGTTAATATTAAGAAATCTAAGATACAATGAGAGTCTGACCTTTCACTCCATTGTCTCCAGCGATGCCTGGCAATCCTTTGGATCCTTGATATCCCTTTAGACCCACTGGTCCTCTGTAGCCTGTGTCTCCATTGTCTCCATCATCCCCAGCTATGGCAGGGTTTGGACCAGGAT